ATATATATATATATATATATATATATATATATATATATATATATATATATATATATATATATATATATGTATGTATGTGTATAGTTGTGTGTGTATGCATATAAGATATACCATCACCGCGAATCTCGTGTGATAATTCGGGGCGACTCACCTGCCGAGCTTAGCGTCCTCCTCGTCGATGGGCTTCCGCCGAGATCGTTCACACACGTAATATATGATGCCTGCAAACACACACATAAAAGATATAATATATGTCGTATCAGTAAATATTATCGACGTCCGGCGTCAAAACTACACACGACATTTGAATTCCGACACAGCGTTTGAAATACTTGACACTTTATATCGAAAATATATCTTTTCATCTTCGCAAATAAAATAATAACAGCGAGGTAACGAAATATTCGTAACTGACAATGCGCGTTCAGCGAACAATTAGCGGGAAGATTATCCATCTCGATTATCAAGACTTGATCTTAATTAACACGAGTATCACGGCTGACAGTAGCGCGAGTCGCGTTTTGCTATTTTCCATTGCGCGACGCGACGCAACACGAAGAGAACCGTCAACGATCTATTCACGCATTGATTCAACGCGATGATTTAACGCCGGCTCACCTGTCTTGTGCGCGCAGCAGCAGATGACGTCGATGATGATAATGATGACAAATAGTATCGCGATGACAATGCCGATTATGGCTGCGCTCGATACCAACGGGCCCTGATGCTGCATCACGCCCGGATCCGCACCTTGAAAGAGGATCAAAGCATATCGTTTTTTAATCCTGCACAGAGTATATGCGTGTATATATGTATGTCGCAGTCCGTTAGTGCAAAAGCGATACCGAACGATGTTTGGTGATGGTTAACAGTTATTACTCATATTCGAGAGAGAGTACCTCGGTGAGTCGCGTCGTGGAAGCGGTTGCAGGAGAGTGAGATATATATATATATATATATATGACATGCTTTGTGAAAACGTACTGGTACGTTTCTGCGAGACAATGTTGAGAAACAGAGATTTTGCGTTGTGCATAAAGGAGATCGTGAAATTGATCGAACTCGAAGAACATCGAGAGAATTATCGGTCAATTCTCGGTATTTTTAATTCTGTCCCCCTCTTTTTTTTAATTTTTCTGACGAATTTTGCACGCGGCGTTATCTTCGGAAGGATTTGCGTAAGCTCGGCGGCCTCTTCCAGCTAAAACGTAGTCAATGAATTTGAGATAAATATAATATATTAATGTGAAAATATACACGTTACTCGTGTTTACGTAACGTGAAATAAGAGTTGAAATTAATCGAAATAATTGCTTCTCGCGTGTCCCATCACCCGCGACGTCGCATCACCAAACACGTTCCACGAACAATGATATTTTAGTATCCTGAAAAGAAACAAGATCTCGGCGGGGTTGTGTAAGGGGATGCGGCAAAAATCCGTCTTTATCAAAGGAGGAAACCAAAAACCAGAAGGCAACAACGGCAAGACATACAAGTGGTGATTGTCGGTTAAAGGAGGACACAGAGCGTACAGTGTACGAGAGTAACGTATGTACGTGTGCGTGTGTGTGTTGCTACGTGTGTATGTGCGCGCGTCTGTACGTGTGCGTGTGTGTTAATGGTTAACGTCGGTTAATGGATCGCGATAATTAGCGCACTGCACAGCTTAGAAGCAATAGAACTCTCGTCTCGTAAAACGCAACACGAGCCGTGCTAAAAAGCTCAAGGATGGAGCGAGGGAGGGGAGAAAAAGCTCATTCACTACCTCCCACACGCGATGTTAGTCTCTACGCGTCACTAGTCTAAAAGTGCTACCTCCACACAAAAAGCTCCTTCGCTGAGTGTGAGTGCCTCGCATTTAGTTCTATTTCACTTACTCGCTGTCTCGCTCTTTTTCTCTTTCTCTCGGTCTCTCTCTCGCTTGGCAATTGTCGACAGAGCTCTCTCAACTACGTTAATTAACGGTATTTTGCATTTGCTTGCTACTTTGGAGGATATTTACCGTTTTCGGCGGCGCGCGTCGCTTCCCGTTGTTATTTATTGTAAATCACAAAGTAAAGAGGCAGTTGTATGTGTGAGATAAGCGAAAAAATAAACAAGATCGCCGAAAAAGAAACCATCTCAAATTGCAGAGGCGCGAAAGGACAGGAAGAACTCTTTACTTTTTCGGCCAGATTCTCGGCTGAAACGATTATCGTTCGGATTCGCGCTCTCTCCGTGATGAAAAAGACGCTTTGTCGTCGCGGTGCGGTTTCGAAGTTCGAGAGATCGGCTACAATCGGAGACAATTTGAAGGTGGCTTCTCCGTTGGCTCTCGGACTCTCGTCCATCCGTATTCGATTTCTTTTTTCTCCTTAGACACTCACATATATTTTCACGTCATTCCGTTATATTTACAATGTCGTGTGGTTGTGCCTCGCACAGGAAAGAACGAGCTATTCGAATTATCCTCCTCATAAATACGAACATAGTAGGCACTAGGCTAGTACATATCCTTAGATGTATGTAAATGTTATCTCTATCTATCTATATATATTTATATATATATATATATATATATATTTATATATATATATATACGTTTTTTGTACATATATACGTGTTCATGTATATTGTATATATAAGTGTACTCGCGTGTGTATACGTGTGTGGGTGTGTGTGTGTGGGTGTCTGTTTGAACATACACCCTTCGGAAGTTACGAGCGGAGTCGACGGTATCGTAATAAAAACGAAACCAAAAAAGAGCGCGACAAAAAAAAGAAGAGAAATAGAGAGGAACGATGGGATCGCCACGCACAACCATCAAACGTCTCGTAAAACCATCGGAGCGACAAGGCGGATCGAACGGCTACGTTGAAATTCGATTTCGCATTCCGATTTATTTTCGGTCCGTACGTCGCGACTTGCCCAAAACTCCCGAGTCGCGCGGCGCGATGACTCTTTATGTAATCCCAGCAGATGGTTAATTTGTCTGTCCTCTACAGCCTTTGTTGAACTCCACATACCGTAGTAGCGTGCGACGGCAGCGCGAAATGATAAAATAACGAAAGGTTATCTAAGAGAAAACCACCCTTCCACCACTTTAATTTCGAGCGACTCGATCTTCATTGTCTGTCGCGAGACGACAACGATGACGATTCACCGGAGATTAAAGTACAACAACGTGGAAGATCGGCTCTTAGACAATTTCAACGCCCTGCCCGACGGCGTGGGGTTGAAGTATCGTCGCAGTTCCGGCCGGCGCGGATCTCAGCAGGTCGGCGACATTAGCCGCGAGAAATCGCACGGAAAGCATGCGTGCCCATCGGAAATAGATCGCGAGTATCACGATCTTTAAGTTCGTTTCCCTCTTCGTTTCCTGCGACCTTCTCGTCGTTTCAGCCCTCTTCCCACTCCCCTGTTTCATCCTCTCGACGCATGTTCCTCTCCAACACGGCTATTTATAAGCCACGACGGCGCCGTGGTCGTTTCGGAACGAGGGTTCCACGAACGGATTCGCATTCGCGAGGCGAACCTATTCGTTCGTCGGCTTCTGTTTCCTCGTTTCTATCTCTGCGCGGAAGTCACGCGGGTACTCGAGGATGGACTCGGTGCATCAGCCAGCGCAAACATGGAATGTTTCTCTCTCTCTCTCTCTCTCTCTCTCTCTCTCTCTCTCTCTCTCGCTCGCTCTCACTCTCTCGAGCGATCCATTTGTACGCGCTCGGGGAGATTATCTCCGTAACGAGAAACACTCCAGCTGCTGCTGCTGCTGCTGCTGCTGCTGTTCCTGAGAAATTTCTTGCTCGGACTGGGCGCGTCGAGATTGTGTGCGAAGAGATACTCGACGCGTATTATTTCGGCATCTCTCGAGGGACGCTTCGGGAAACGCGGGAATTGTTGCCATACCCCATTGAAAATGACAAGCGCGACGTGAAATATCAGAAGGTAGAGGAAAAATGCGACTCTCAGCGAGCGGAATGCTAAGCACATTGAAATCAACCGAGAAGGAGAGTTTGGAACTTTTTGCGTTTGACAGACTGTTCCACTCTCTGTGCAGTGATATTAACAATAGCACCAAACCCGACAGTTACGATCAATAAGCAAGAATCGATTTCTGCTTAACGCAGCCGGTGGTCAAGATGCGAGCACAGATAGAATAGTCGCAGTTATCGTCGAGTAATACATCGCTCCTATAAATTTTGCAACGATGAAACTAATTTTATCGGATATTTGTAGACAATTATCATCAGACTACAAATTAATTCATATTTGTCTTCTTGCAAAATTCATGATTCATTAGTAAGGAGAGCAAAACGACCTCTTTCTTTTTATATTTAGTCAAAGAATATAATATCAGATCCACACTTTGTCAATGTTGATTAGCGCTTCATTAGTGCTTGTCTGAGCTTATGTCGCTCGTTCCACGGTGTCACGTGGCACATTTCATGAATGCTAATGCCGTCATACCACTCGAAGACGGCGAAAGGGCAGGAAAATGATACCGAAATCTGATATGGCACTCGGGATTGGATAAAACCGAAGGCACAGCGAATCAATTTGCGGATCTAATGCATCTCCATTTGCGCGCAGTCTGAATTGGCTCGGCCGACTCTACGACACGTTATTCCTTCTCCCGAGACAAATTCCGGGTAATCGTATAACCACTCGACAAAGCGACTCGATCGGAATAATCCCGCATTCCCCGCTAATTGATTTCCCCTCGGCGCCGCGGCAGTTGCGTCCTCGAGATGATGGCGCGCGGTCCTCCAAGCATCCGACGAACGATCGTCGTCGTACGCGCGAACAATGAGAGCCCGTCGCCGAATCGAGCATTTGCGCGCTCGCAGTTTATCCGCCGGGCGCGGGATCGATCTGCTCAAACGGCGAAACAAAGCTGCCTTGATTTCCCGGCAGAGACAATTCCGCCTGCAAGAATCGAGGATCGATTGATCCTGCGGTTTGCGAGGAGGGATCGCCCTCTCTGGTTTGAGGCTCTCCGCAAACACGCTCCCTCGCCTCCGTCACGTGAGGGGAACGAACTGCACGCTCTCGCGTAATTAGTTCGCGCGAAACGCGTCGTGTCGAACAATCGCGCATAAAGAGCCGTTTGTCCTTGCGCCGGGACTTGCCGCGCGCGTCTGGCGTTAAATGCAGCTGCTTCTGAATTATTGTGTCCTTTTGGGCGAGGAAAACGTGGAAACGGGGCGTTCCGTGCATTCCCGTAACGAATCTGCATCGCCTGATTTAGCCTGACCTCGAAATCTCTAAACAGTTACGATTATACCGAATTTATCAATTAAGAATGTCGGACCCGTCGGACAGCCGCGTTTAGACACATGTACGTAATGAGCAGGAAAAGAAGAAAGAAAGAAAAGAAAAGGACGATTCTCCACAGTGTTACGCGCTTCTCTTTGGGGATTGACGGAAGTCTATTTGGGCCACGGGGCGAAATTGCGCGAGTCTGCTCGGCAAAGTGAAATAACGGAAGACGCGCAGTCTGTGCCGACGCGACGGCGTACTAAATCGATAGCCCGGTCTGTTCATCGCAATTCCGGCGCGGATCCTTTTATCGAGACAAAGTGCGAAAATTGGAGGGATTTCGCTCGGCCAGTCCCAGTTACAATCATTCCCGGCGCTCGGCGAGAGGAGTCGACCGGTGATTTCCGCCGGAAAAGAGGAAAACTCGCCGAGGAAGATTCACGAGGATAGGAAACCATTTTGGCGACTATCGTCTCGCTCTTTCACCCCTTCTCTCTGTCTCTCGATCGTTTTCCTTTCTGTCCTCGCGGCTGCTGGGGCACGCCGAGACATTGTCTTATCGGTTTAAAGTCTTCCGCTCGTATCCACGACCATCGTCCTTCGACGTGCGCCGACTTTAAGCGTTCCCTAAGAGCGCCTTTATCTGCACGCGCGCGCTCCAGCAATGTTCCTCCGCATCGCGAATGTTCCCGAAGTTATGCTGGAGTTTATTGTCGCCGGAAGTAAAAGAGCGGCGTTTGCGCGTAAAAGTCGTCCGACGTCGACCGGCTTTCGTCCAGCCTTTTACGACGTTTGCTCGACGTTGAACGGAAGCCAGAGCTCGTCATGCGTCACGGGTTATCTATTGCGATGCCTCACAGAGACTTGGCTACGGTCATCGTCGTCATCGATACCCGCGGCGCAGCCAAAATTTGGTGCGGGACCGACCAATACTGTCCTGTCACTCGCAGCGTCGGAAGCGCGAACGGAAGAATGGATTAGTGCGAGATCAAATACGACGTAATCATATTTTCCTCGGGCAATTTTAATTACAAAGCACAAGGTCTCACGTCGATTCGATGCATCTGGCGCTTTTTTCTCTTTTCCATCGAGAGATACAGGATGTTATTGGTTGCTCTGACTCTGGTTTCTGTCGAAATGCAGGAAAGCGCGAAGAGTCTGATGAAATTTCGGCGTGCGCGAGATTTGCAACGTGGTGCGCCGATTTCGACAGAAGTTCCGGGCGTCGTCCGATTTCAACGCGAAAGTCGAAAAACGCTTTTTGCGATTACCACGGTTCGAATCATTCGTATACTGTGTGTTTCGCGTGTGTTTCGCATGTGTTTCGCGTATACTGAGGCGTCTGCGTGTGTGTGTGTGTGTGTGTGTGTATGGTCTGTCTCACTTCTACCGTGTCGAAGCGTGCAATTACGAATTCTTTGACGTATGTGAAATCAATTTTTCATTAGCGGAGATTTGATTACAGCGACTTTTCTATTTCCGGCATTAAACACCGGTGTCGTTCCGACCGAATTGAAATTTCTGCCTGAAGCAGAGCCCGCTTGAAATAATTGAGAAAATAAAAAACGCGTCGATGCGCTACCTCCACCGGCGGCGGATATCGATTTGTTCCGACTTGGACTACGATTTCAAAACAACAAGTTTTTAAGCTCTGACGATTTCGTCGGCACTTTGTAATTAATGCGCACCGTCGGATTCGTACAATTACAGCTAAAAATTCCGTCGCTAGAATCACGGCACGGTAAACACGAGACGCTTCGTGCGCTGAACACTGCACGGAGGTGGACGCGAGTTCTCCGCGTTCTCCGCGTTCTCCACCGGAACGTACGTCGTCAACATGGAATGGGAACGCCGTCGACGAAACTCGGCATTGCTCGTCGATTAAAAAGACCAAAAAAAAAAAAAAAACAGAGAGAAGAAAAAACAAAGGGGAAGGGAATGATGATAATAATAATAACAAAGCGCATGCCATGCGTTGTGGACTAATATCTAAGAACCCAGGCATTGCGAACGGACATAAAAGGGACGTAAAAGAGATCTGGGTCGAAGACCTCGTCACATCTCGATCGATCGCCGGCGTTTCCGCGCGAGCCTCGGCAAGGCGATCAATGCGCGCGTTTGCGAGCCTGGTGTATGTGTGTATACAGGCACTTGAGGTAAAAGACCGCCCGTTCCGGATACGACCAGGCCTTCGAGATCGAACCGCGCTCCTTTTGTAGTCTCTTATCCGGGAATCGAAACCGTATTATTTCGCGCGCGAGTTCAATTTTCGACGCTAAAGACACGGGAGGAGACGCGTGATTTACACTCACGTTGCCTCACTCGCGTTGCCATTGTGCGGTATGACAATGCGCGTGACGAAGCGAGAGATATTCGAAACGGCGCGCGCGTTAGGCGAGCGCGGAAAATTCGCCGAGCTGCCGGTGACAAAATGAATCGGCGATCTCGCGACGATAATTAATGCGAAATTGAGATATTCTTTTTTTTTTTTTTTCACGATTGCATTTCACTGGGAAAATTTCGCTACATTTCGCTACATTTTCCAATACGTATTTCAAGCTTCCATCGCGATATTTGGTTCAACGATTTACCTAGGAATTTTCCAATTATTCCACGTTCTGGATTATTTTCCCGTCGCTTGCGGCGTCAAAAATTGTATCCGTCGCAATTCGATAATCGCTCTCAATTCTCGCGCTCGTCGCCCGAGATTAGTGATTAATCATGACGGTAGTGTCAATTACGGTGGCGGTGGCGGCGGTGCGATGGCGGCTACCGTCGGTAACGATGGTTACATGATATATGTAAGAACTACGGCGATAACGAATTCGTAATTATAATGGGAGAATTCGTAAAATTGTAATGGGAGAATCATAATTGTATAATGATCGCAACACACAGATCATGCGTATACTAAACACGTATCTCCAAAACTAGTCAAGCGAAACTAATGTGCGACTCTGAATAAAAATTCCCACAAAAATAAAAAAAAAAAAAAGAAAATTCTTGAAAAAGGAGGGAATCAAACAGATCAAAGGCAAGAGAGAAGAGAGAAATCATATATCGTATGCAAAAAATCGCGCGAAATCAATTCATATTTAAGAAGAAGAAAAAAAGGACTAAACTGTTTTGTCGGTTTGTTCGAGTTCGTCGTACTCCCGTGCGTGCGAATTCTCTCTCGGAATTTGTCGCGCGATTTAATCCCGGAACCCGACTATAAGGATAAGTATTGCATAATCCTGTCTCGAGAGATAAACGTTTACAATGAGATTGCTGCTGCTCCGTACAAATAGTCCAACGTTACGAGAGAGAGGATAATATTGTTATCCAGTTTGTCCGCACGAAACTACCTATCAAATCGCTCATGCAGCGATTTGTAAACAAGTAAGAAAGAATACAGACAAAGGAACTGCTTGTCAATTGAGAAACTTGAAAAATGATCCAACAGATAAATCATAACCGATACTCGATTTACATTCACATTACTCGATCTTTTTACAGACTCAGTAAAAAAAACGCCATATCGTATGATATAATAGTATAGATGTAACGTATACGCTGTACGAGATACGACGATTTACGGCGTCGTGTTTTGACGCGTGAAAACACGAGGAAAGAATCTCAGAAATATAGCGATTTCGTTAGTGTATTATCCCGAAGTTTCGTCACAGTCACGTTCATGTTCGCGGTGGATAGAGTCGGGCTCCAGGACCAAGGATCCTGTGTGCGTGACGCGACTTCGCGAAGGGTTTGCAGCAGGGACTCATGCGAAATTCCCCGGCACGGAGAGAGAGAGCGTCGCACGAACGCGAGTCGAGCGTGCAAGTGTCGTCTCGTGTACAAAGGAGGTAAATGTCTCTCACGTTGCCTCTCGAGGCTTCGATAAAAACGGATTTTCTTTCTGGCAATGAGATTGGCAATAGGAACCGTCAACTGGTATCATCGTTTAATGCGTATAACAGCATTTATTTCTCTCTGACGACGACGAGATGAAGATTCGCGACCGCATTCCGCCGGTCTCGCTCTCTATCAGTAATCATTCTTTTCCTCCCCCTCTCTTTCGTCGCTCCGTTCGATCGTCCTTAAACGCGTCTATCGGCATTTTCTCCAGTAAAAATGAGTAAAAATCGTAAAAATCGTGAAAAGAGCACCGTTCTGAGAGTGTACTTTCGACGCGTGTCAATCGGTGAGCTCAGTAAACAGTTCTCAGTGCTCCATTCGTAAGTATATTCAACAAAGTACGATTATCACGTTCGCATTTGCGCGCGATTCAGGACTATGCGATTACTGAAAGTATGCGCGGCGCTCGTTTCCCCTAATTCGATTTGCGTTCCTCTAACACTGTCCTACTTCGTCGCTGAATCTCGCGCGCGAATAGTTGGCGAATTTAGGGCAGTAGCACTCTTATGGTCTGCACGTTGTGGTCTCACACGCTCGTTGATACGCTCATACGCTCCGAATACCGAAGTGCAGCGGCATCGCGCGCAGTACGCATCGGCTGCGAGAACTAGATGTCTGCGCTCTCGACCGATAGATCGTTGCTTCAACGCTCGAACCAACGTACATACAGGGAAGCACACATTTCGTCTCTCACCTAGTTACCGCTCTATCGTGTGTACACTATACAAAAACTCGTAACCGCAGAAATTTATCGACGGCGCGTCGTCGTGACTCGTTTAGACTTCAACGTTGCGCTTGTGAAAAACCGATATAACTCCAACTTTAATCATAATTACAATCGCGATCACCGCGAAACACGCGACTGTCGGTACGATACGTTATCGTGTTGGCCACGTGAATTATTTTCTTTTCTTCTTTTTCTTTTTTGCACCACGGTAGTGCGAGCGGCGTGTGATCTTTGCGCATTACTACTGCGGGCGCGGTGCACCTGCCTCTTGCAAGGGTCACCATTAAACAAGGTGCAGCTCTTAACTTAACACACGAAAGAAGAGTGAAAGGAAACGTACCAGTACGTTTACTAACCGTGAGCATTTAACACAAACAATAAGTATAAATACAATTCGCTTTGCGGCCTGTCGCGCGCGCTTTTCTCCTTACAGAACCCACTTAAATGCTATCTCCTCGTTTAACTGCGGAATGTACCGGCGAACGTGTCGATCTGCTTGGCCGTTTGTTTGTTCGTTCGTTGTCGATCGTCTACTACTAAATGGATACAAATGAACGACACAATATGTATAAGAGCTCCGCGATTTAATCGTCGTCGTCGTGTCTCGCACGAATCCCGAAACGCACACACTTCGTGGTCTCTCCGAGCGATTTGTCTGGTCAATACGATTCGAACGAAACACGCGAGTCGCAGCAAATCGCGAAAGAGTGTGTGCTATATTAGTGGAGCATGTCTCTCTCTCTTTCTCTCTCTCTCTCTCTCTCTCTCTCTCATTCTCTCTCGTCCATCGTGGTGTCTCTCTTGTACTGTTGGCGAATTCGCCTCGCTTCCTATCGCGTGCGTTCACGACGAGGGGAAGATTAGCGCGAGGAGCAAATATCCCTGACGGCGACTCTAAATGGCTAGAGATAGGAGCAATACTGCTGTGGTAATGGCGGCCACGGCGATCTTGCAAGTACCACCAGCAGCAGATATTATTGTATAGTCCACAGGGATGCCCGTAGATTCTGAATGATAAAAAGTCTCTGTGTAAAAAAAATCTTGCCCGATCGTATCGTCGGGTTTTGTCGCGCATAAGACATTCTAACGCTCTACAAGCCCACCGAGACGGTCACCGGGTAACTTTAGCTTTAGTTGATGTCTTGCGCAGGGTCAAGGGATCTGAGGGCTTCTTTCAATCCTGCCGTCCCGATTAACGCCAGAAAGACGCTCGGGTTTCGTTACTTTTCAAAAAATAACTCTCTCCGCATTTTCCGTGTACGCATTAACGAGAAGATGCGTAGAAAATTAGAAGAAGCTGCGTTTGGATATTAATAATTTCAACAAGGTTTAGTTCTTATAAAAATCTGTGCCATATTCAAAATTAAAGATATTGACGAGATTGCACTTTTCAAGAAACAGATCAGTAAAGTAGCGAACGATTTCGCATGCTACGCTCTCTTCTCGCAATTTTACGAAATCGCTAATACCGATTACACGTTCGTGAAGCACACCGAATCTGTACAATTTTACAAAAAGAAAATAAAAAAGGGATATATGTACGTATAGCAAGCAAAGTAACATCACTTAGGCCCTTCTGATGTTAACTAGATCGTTTCACCATTGATTGAACCAATTAAAATTACCAAAAAAATCAACGAACCAAGGACATGTTTTATAGATGGGCGAGGAAACGAAAGACCTCAAATAACCCTTTCCCCTCCTCCTCGAATGAACAAAAACAGGGACGAACTGACAAACGATTTGAAGATCGCGTAGAAAAAAATATCATTTGGTGCAATAGCTTCGTGCACACATATATATGTATATATATATACACACACACACACACATACATATATATATATATATATATATATATGTATATATATATGTATGTATATGTATATATATACATATATATCTCAAAGGGAATCAGATTTTGAGTGAAAATTATTACGAAATATAAATACGTCATGACAGAGTAATTACGTTGGATCGAAGTAACATTGAGAGAATACGGTTGCAATTAATGAGAACTTACCTCTGGCCGTCTTGAACTTGATGGATCCTGGCTCGCTGAAGCCCATCACGTTGTGAGCTTGTAGCTCGACGTTGTAGAAAGTGTCAGAGTTCAGTTCCTTTAGCCAGTGCCTATTCTGAGGTTTGATATCCTCCGTTCGACAGGTGTCGTGCAACAACTCCCAATCACCGACGACGCGTCTTATCTGGCAATACTTGATTTGGTACATATCTATGGGCTCGCCATTGTTGGCCGGCGTAGTCCAGCCGAGCTCGAACTGGTTATTGTACGGCGATGAATCGTATTCATCGTACGCCACTGAGGTCATGACTTTTGGCATCATCGGCACCGTCTTACCAGGTGTCATCTCGTGATAGTCGTTGCCCCAATTGCCCAGGCCAACGTCGTTCATCGCCGCGAATCGAAAATCGTACGGTGTCAGCGGTTTCAAATCCTCAATGACGTATCGGCCATCTGAAGAGCGGGCCAATTAATCGCGTGACGATTCGGTTAACGCGTCGAGTTTTGGATGGGCAGATGCCAAACGACACGAAGTGTCTCACAAGGACTCCCGTTTGCTCACATTTACCCATGCAATAACTTTATTTATGATATAACGTGAACAATGAATCAATCATTTATTTGAGTGATTGGAATATTTAAATAACATATCAACGTAGATTACCACAGCTGTGTGTAGTATTTTCTTACACTAGCAAACAAGTTGCGAATTTTTTTTCTCTCGATTTTATTTTAACTCTTATTTTAATTTTCCTCCACTTCGTGCCGTTTTCATGAATAATATCGAAGTTCTTTTATTTTCTGATCATCAGCATATTCAAGAATAAAAAAAAAAAAAGCTGGCAACAAGTGTCTTCGAGCGTATCTGGGTTAACTAACTCGCGCGTCGAGTTAACTTGGATTAAGTTAGATTAGCTCAACTTAGTTACAACTTGAGTATACTTAAAGAAGTAAAATAAATCGGAATCTCGTTTCCGCCTTTACGGTTAGCCGAACGTTAAATTTATTTTGTTTGCAATTCTTCCAGTTTGAGCTGCTTTGCATTGAATTTGGTATTCAAGAGCCCCCGCCATCTTTCCCTCTACTTTGAATTGCTTAATGAAAACGTCAAGAAGACTCACCGACGGACCACGTCTTGTTCCTCGCTTGCATCCAAATCTCATTCTGCTCCTTGTACTGCACGGTGATAGTCTTGACGTCCAAGTCCGGATGCAAGGGCGGTATCAGTTTGAATGCTATCGTCGTCGCGCTGATCTCCGTCATCTTGACTTCTAGCAGGTTCCCAGGCCTCTTCGCTTCCCTCAGCTCGATCGAATTCTCACGTGTGCCGTGGAGGTTCGCGGCGATGCACTTGTAGGTGGTATAGTACCTGTTGTCGGACGGCGTGACTGAGAGGATGGAGATCGGTCCGTGGCCGAACTGTTGCAATACCGCATGGTTCTCGATTTCCTGGTCACCATATATTCTCCAGCTTATCGTCGCGTTTGGTATACTCTCGGCGATGCAGGTGAGATTAACCGGTCGCTTATCCCAGGACCAAATTGTGACATTCGGCATCGACTGGAAAGAGGGCGGGTACTCGACAGTGAGGTGGCCGTTCCTGTAGGCGACGCCGCCGGAGTTCTTCGCTATACACTCGTACAAGCCATCGTCCGACCTCATAGCGCTTCCGATTGTCAGGATGCCGATGGTCTCGCCGTTCACTTCGTCTGGCTTGCTTATCATCACGATCCTGTCGTCATTCGGCTGAGATCCAGTTACGTACTGCTTTTCGGCTGTGAATTTCCTGAAGCTCACATTGGGCGGTGGCCGGCCGAAGGCCTTGCACATGATATCCACCGTCTTGCTCTCCACCACCGTCTTGTTCATGAACTCCATGATCTTAGGCTTGACGATCACATTTACCTGGATGTTCGCGGTGGCGATGCCGGCGGGACTCTTCGCCTCGCACTGGTATTCACCCGCGTCTTCGCGTTTCACGTCGGTGATGGTGAGTATACCAGTGTACGGATCGACACCAAAGCGATCAGCGGTGGAGAGATTCGTATGAGTGAGTGTCTTGATCCAGCTCAATAATGGTGGCGGCTTGCCGCTAGCCTTGCACGCGATATTCGCGTTTTCGCCCTCGACGATCTCGATGGTGCCTGGGATCTCTTCGATTGAGGGTCGCGTGTATACCTGTGCCAACGAGCGCAAATGGAAGGATCGTTATAAAGACTCGAGGAAGATGGCTTTATATCTGGGATTCTTAGTAGTGTTCTCGCCGAATCGACAACGAATCGCGGAAATGTATCAACAAAGTCATGACAGCGCACTAGTTTAAAATAGAACAATCGATAAGAGAAACTGAATAAGAAGATCAACAATTATAACAGGATACGAGCAATACCTCAACTTTAATAGGTCGCTCCCGTAACTCTCCTGTGGTTTGGACCGATGCTCGACAGGTGTATATACCGTCGTCGGACTCCTGAACATTCTTGATTGTTAGAGTGAATTTGTCTATGATGTAATGATCGTTGGTCCTGATCAGCTCGCCGTTGTAGAGCCAGTCAACCGAAGGTGCAGGATTAGCGCGTACTTTACAATGAATGGGGAATTCCTCACCAATAACAGGATGTTGGTCCAGCGGTGCATTCTCCCAAGTGATTGCGACTGTCAATGACACATTGAAAGTACAGCAGGGCCAATTGTGTCGAGTCGAAATTGCACGAGATAAAACGTTGATTATCGTCGAGTTGCATCCCGATCTCTTGCAATCTCCGCTGAACATTGTAATTCTTCGTCGTTAATTAAATCGTTAATAATTCGACGATTCCAATTCGGAAAATGAATTTAAGAGATGAAATAGGATGTCTACTCGACCGTATTCTCTTCGTTTCCGACTGAGAAATGGACAAAGCTGTTTAGTCGTACTGTCTTATTTCAAGATTGCGCGCCCCCTTCGATTACGTTTTAACGAAACGATCGCGTACGAATGACTCTAATGGAAAAGTTCCGCGTTCCTCGAATCTTTTCCATCATTTCACTGAAATTAATTGAACATCACGCGATATAGCGGGAGATTCGTCGTATATATCGGAATAATTCCTCTGGGAGGATCGCGTCGCGGGACTCTCAATCATGATTCTTTACTCACTGATGGTGACGATCGTAATGGACTTGCTCATCATCAAGGAATTCGCATAAGTCCCAATGCACTGGTACGTCCCAGCCTGTTCCTCATCGAGAGAATTAAAGAATAGAGCTAGACTGCCGTCCTGATACCTCTCGGTGTACATCGGCGGCTTCTGCGTTGCCATGTGCGAGCTGCGAAGAATATCGTCATAGTTTGCGAGACAATTCACGCAATTCGGCTCAAACACAAATTGATGGTGACGGTGAATGACGTTGCACGGCGATATCGCGATACACGTTTGTGAGGTGATAACGCGAGGATGACACGCAGGCGAGATGCATTCATGCATCGTGGCCTTGTATTATTTGACGCGTATAGATAGTGTTGCGTATCGTGGATGATGCTAGCACACGTATGATGGTGTGAGGTATGTATTCAAGCAATTTCCACGCAGTGTGTCGAGCCACGAGATGTCGGGTGTAATATGGCGTGACATCGACGATGAAGATTGCCAGAGGTATAGGTTTTCGGATTAAGGAGATGGCACAAGGTGACGGGGTCAGAAGGCGCGGCTGCTCCGCGGAGAAATGAACGAAGATTCCGCGCCATTCATGAAGCGGAATTTTAGCGACTATCGGAGGCATGAGAGTTAATATCTCAAATAATGATCGCGAATGTGAAATATGTCAGATAATCGTTGTGATGTAGTCGTAGAATTGGTCGTCGTGGAGCAGCCGAGTATACATGTGGGTGTGATGCACGCAGGGTGCAAGCAACGACGATGAGGAAGGATACGGCGAGAACTTCGAGAAGGGTTAAGAAGACGGTTCAAGGTGGCAAGCGCGGTTGCTCCGCGGAGAAATGATCAAAGTTGACTCGCACCATTTACAAAGCGAAATTTGAGTGACTACAGAAAGTATGAGGGTCAATTTTTCAAATAGTTACAAGAACATAAAAGATGTCAGATAATTGTACAGTTGTGGTGTAGTCGAATTTTGATCGTCGTGGAGCAGCCGAGTATACATGTGGATGTGATGCACGCAGAGTGCAAGCAACGACGATGAGGGAGGACACGGTGTGGGGAGAGCTTCGGGAAGGATCACAATGCCGTCGTGGTAGTCTGTCGTTCGCGCGGAATGTCGTTCGCGAGACGACCCGAACAAGAATTCGCGCGATTCCTCTCCCGGCAGACAGCCCAGACGAATTTGCTCCGGTGTAATTTATCTTCGAAATATCGGTTTTTGCAACGGCCTGTATTGTATTTGACGCGACGCTGACACCTATTGAGAACGTAATTGAGTGGCGTAATTGCTCGGAACGCGGCACGATTTTGCACAGGAATGTCACACGCGCCGCTCTTGACGACGAATGTACTTAATTATGCAAATTGCACAGGATTCGAGTAATCGAGCAAACACGCGAGCCGATGAATCAGTTACCGAGGTTAACGCTCGTTAGATTATTTGATCGTCGGATTAAATATTTCCAGCGCGAGCGCGATGCGCCAATACCTGCATTAGCCGTTTATACATATAGACTGCGCGATATTGGACAGACTTACACGAACGGAGACATAAACGTTGCAAATGACGTCGAAACAGTGTTTGTGAATACGTACAGAACCGCGCCACTCCGGAGCCGCTTAATCACCAATCACACACGCGGTGTCCCAGAAACGTCGCGCTATATTTCTAATTTGTCGATGCGAGCGGTTTAATCTCGCACTTGGCGTCCAAAATTCTGATGTTTGGTGAACGAAATCTCAAATGGCACCATGCAATTTTCGTTTAATAGGTAACCGCGTATTTTCTCGCAGCAGAAATGAGATCTTGCGTTTTATTGTCACGTATATACCGTAAAAGATAAAACAATTAAATAAGAATATAACGAAATACGGAGATATGATGAATAACAAACGTAATAACTAAATAAAATATAATAAATAAAAAATAAAACGAAATTTACGCGCAATCGTGACTCATACTTTAGTCGACGCAAAGTCAATTCCGAACGCGATGCCTCTGAATCACCTCGTATGCGAGAATATACGAACGAAACACTCGCTCGCAGCCCGGCGTTTCTTCTTTTTTTTCTGGCCGATGAGTTTCCTCGCTTCGGCGCGCGTTCAATAAGTCAGTCCGGATACAGTCCGGAACTTTTCCAAATGGCTTAACGAGCGATAGCCGGTTCGCGAATTGCGATCGGTTCGCGCTGCAGTAATTAAGAGCTCCGGCGGGCAGACTACGGGAAACGCGGCTACATCGTGGGAAAATGATCGTGTCGGGCCCGGGGGAGAAGTGACGGTGTGAGCGCATCGTAAATGAAAGGGATACGGGAGGAAACAGCAGCGAACGAATACTACGATAGAGAAATTAAATAAACGATTGCATGTAGAGTGGTCTTCAACGGGTTTTATACTCGCCTTTTGAGCGGCGTAACAAGGAGACTGTGTGTGCGGTAAAAGTGACAGAAATTCGTTGAATTAGTGCTGATATCCAGTCTGTCATTTTTAGTATGTGATTGCGATATTCCTTTCGAGCCTAATGCACTCCCGAGAATGTGTCTCTCAGTTAGCAATTTTTACATTCTTTGTAAAAGGACTCATTTTATCATTTTATCATCATTTGATCGCAATTGAAACGTACCAGAAGTTATAATTGTGTCAAGTATACATTGTAACATTGGACAGTCAAGTAGTTATCTCTCAAATCGAAAGAGAGGCGACAAAAATAATCAATTATTTTTCTAATCTTTGAGATTACGATTTTGATTGAATTTTTTCGAAGAAATCCGACTCGTACGAGAATATTAATGATAATAATAATAATAATAATAATAATAAAAAGAAGATTTTTCAAATTCACTATTTTCGCAGTTACTCAACTGACGTAAACGTTCTTCGCAAACCGGACGACTGCAGGATCGTAGTCCACCAACAGCGCGGTTTCCGTCCTCGATTAATTAACCAATCGCGATCAGCCATCGCTTTCTTGGCCACCGATTAGAATGTAGATAGAGAAATGCAAGGACAAGCGGTCTGATTGGCGCGACTGCTCCTGCACCGCCTCGGAAATGTAATTTGTAAGCGAAAGGAAGAAGAGACAGCCGGTGACGATGAAATCGACTTACTTGAGGGGCTCGATAGTTTGGTTCTTCGTGTCGAGCCATTGCATATTGTCGATGAGCTGAGGCTGGTCCACCTTTGGCTTGCACGTGAGGATGATGCTGGAGCCGATCGGTTTCGACTGCGTCTCGCCGCTCGGCAGGATCTGCAAGTGCGGTTCTATCGCGTTCGCGTAAGCTGCAAGAAGCAAAACCAAGAACGTGGTCGGTCATTACGCTGACAGGAGACACGAATGTGTGCGTGTGTGTGTGTGTGTAATAAGGGCAACCGCAGTAGCCGCGTAAGAGACGGAGAAAACACCGGGGACTCGATGGTCGGCCGGAGTGATTGCACGTAATCCGCCGATAATGATACGATTACGAGGCACTCTACGGAGGATCGCTTATTTTTGCAGACGTCGCGCGAACACACAAGCGACGTCCTCTCTTGACGCGATACACCGGATCTCGCGACGGCGAGCGTGTTCGCGCTGGTGAGAAAAGTGCGAGTGGCTTACTCGACGCGTCCCTTCCAATTTTCAACGGTATTTACCTCAAGTACCTCGCCTCGAACCGGCAATTTCTCTCGTTTGCTGCTGAAGCACACCGTTTTAAATTCCTACGATCTTTGCTAATTCCATTTGCACGCACCACCTTTGATTTATTATCGCAATCATTCATTCACCTTGGCGAGAAGTTGTGACAGAGAAAAAAATGAGACCTCTGGTATTCTCACTTTGTTCGCCTTCTTCTTTGTAATTCCACACAAAGATACTTTACTACACCGAGAAAATTTTATAGTAAGAATTTCTGTGGGATTTCCTAACCGAGGAAGAGATCGATATTACGCAGTAATTCACTGTTACTTATATTTTAGAAACTAAAATGTGCTATTAAAAGAAAAAAAAAAACTTGTTATATTTCTAGCGAAATTTACTATGCTCCTTAGACCTTGCTCTGTGTATCCTGGATCCAAGAACGTAGTAAAATTCTGAATAATTTCTATGAAAAACTAAAATATCTATAATATCTTCGTGTAAGAGATAAAAGAAGATATCTAAGAACACGTGTAATTCAAGACACAAAGGATACTCTCGCACACATATATCGCGCACATTGAAACTTCCTGAAGACATCTTCCTAAAAAACTCTCGCAATAAGAATCTAACGAATAAAAAGAGAAACAATACACAGCTAAACTGTCTTGTTAGTCACAATTGAAGGATCTTCCTCGAAGAAATCAACTCGCTTGGTTATGGCCTTACCCACGTTAGTGGGACGAGGTGACGTCGTTTCCAAAGGTCGCGACGGCGACGACGACGGCGACGACGACGGCGACGGCGACGGCGACGGCGACGGCGACGGCGACGGTGACGGCGACGGCGACGGCGACGGTGACGGCGACGGCGACAGCGAGGACGACGGCGACGACGACGGTGGTGGCGTTGTCGCCGCCATCACGTAAATGCACAGCACCGAGAGGCAGATAGATGTCATCTCGGCGTTCATAGTCGCGTCTTCCGTGTGTGCAGCTTAAAACGCCTTCGGATGCTTGCTCGTTCGCGTGCGTGAGTACGTCAACTATTGCGACGGAATGCGTGCGTCGTCGGAATGCGTGCATGCACGACGGGCGCCTGACACCCGACGGCGTCGGGCACAACAGGAAGCGGGAATTGAGCTAATTAATTGCGGCGAGCGAAAGTGCGGAATTGCCCTAACTGGGAAACGCTCCGTAACCTCCATCTCCACCATCTCCTACTCCTGCGCTCCGCCACCTCCTGGTCGCCGTCGTCGTCGTCGTTCTCGTCCTCGTCCTCCTCGTCTACTTCCCCCTATTCTCCTCGCCGCGCGTCATCCGGATACACCAGCAGCATCGTAATGCGGAATCGCTCTCTTTCTACCCCGCTTGTCTCTACTCTCCGTGCCGACTCCGCAAACTCATTAGCTCGTTAACTTGGTGCACGTAAGCCCGAGTTACCTGACGAATGGAAGTAACGGCGCAATGAGGGAATCATTACCGAATTTACGGCGAGCCAGCTGCCGCAACTGCAGCTACTCGTTAAGTCCGCGAGAATTTCTCAACGCGGGATGCGGAAGGAGTCCCGATTTACGATTGGATGCGCGGTTAATTACAGGGGGAAGGAAGCTTTATGCCCGGGATAAGTGACCACATTGCAAACGTCTCGGTCGATTTCGCCGTTTCACGCGGATTGAACGAGGCGGTAATAGGTTTACATTCGTTTACATTCGCTTTGCATCAGCAGCTGATCGCTCTCTGCGTGCGTGCGAGCGAGCACGCACGCAGGATATGCACGCGTGCATGCATGCACGATCGTCGTGAATCGACAGCGCGAACGTTTCACAATGTGCGAGGGAAAAAAAATCGAACGGCCAGTTCGAGAAAAATCCCAAATCGAGAACAATGCGATGAGCGAGCTGTATAATCGAAATACAGGATCGGGGCCAGTTCGCCTAAACGATTTTTTTTTCACGCGGGACACGGCGTGCCGCGCAGCTCTTGTAACAATTGATCTCGCAAATACTGAAACCGCGCCGCGGTAGATACTGCGAAAATAATTGAATGCGGATTAAAAAAGCGAGCTCACGCGAGGTAGAGATGGGGATACGCCGCTGGCGTGAGCGAACTAACCAACGAACGAACGAACGAATGACTCGCGTGTGACGCAGCAGGTCGACGCGTCTGACGTAATCGACAACGGCACGAAAATTGAAACCGCCGCAAATTGCCGGCGGAAAAAAAGTCGTCCTCCCTCTGGTTCTCTCGCTTCACGGAAAACTTCCGTGCGACCTGCTGTCGTCGCTGTTGCTAGATATTACGTGAGTGACATCGACGGTGCAGAGCGGGAATTTTCATATGAAATTTAAAGAGTTTGCTCGAGAAACTCACAATAAACACTTTAATTTCGCGGTTCTAATTTTAGCTTGCCACCTGTTAAACTTATTCGGAACATGAACCAGTTTTCGAATTATATTTTCATGTATATCACGTAATTACCCTTACGAAATACAGCAAATTGTTTCGTAACACTGCCAATATATATTTTTTCCGTATTTTTTACCATCCGTGAAATTATTAAAAATACGAGCTGATATATATATATATATATATATATATATATCTTTTCTCTCGAAATAATAATTATGCTCCTCCTAAAGTTATAATTATCATTAACTGTATAACGAGAGAATAGAAATTATGCCGTGAAATTATAAAGGTAATCTACCGACGTTGTTATAAATTCTGTTATGGCATTCCCTCTCTGAAATTTATCGTGAATTTTCCAGACAAGTTACCATTAACTTTAATTTAATTATTTTCACCGTTAACGTTTAAATAAACGTCAAGAGAAAACGAACGTCCGGGAAATCGCTGCAAGATGATTATTTCATCGCGGTTAATGCAAATGCACCTCTTGCAACGAGGACCCGTTAATTTCTGTAATAGCTCTCGCGCAAGGACGCGGAAAGGTTACAAACCTTCATAACGGAGCAACTTCCTTAATTGGCCTAAGACTCATCGAGATGAGTTCTTGCGTGCGGTCAATTAAAGGATTTCGTCGGCGCGCCGCTTCGCTCCCGGCGAACTCGCAAGGGTAAGGAAACTTTAAGCTGCTTTCGCGACATCTTTGGTCTTTCTGCTAGTCGGGGTGGCCTATCAGACTTTTATATGCAGCGGGATACGACAATTATCAGCCGAGCATATTCAACATCGCGTCGCGCAACTTTCCCAAAGCCACTGCCTTTAAATTTGCATTGTCGCTCATTAATCCCGAGCCTTTTTAGATCTTTCTTTTTTTCGGAAACTCATTTTTTTCACCGTAATTAACTCGTCGGATAATAATGAAGGCTATACTGCATAAAACGGATAGATCGTTAATTTAACAAAGGGACAAACAAAAACGTGGAGAAATGTGAAACGAATTTTCATAGCTTTCTGGATTTTATCATATTTTCGGAGATTTTCCGGAGAAACATGGAGTTGTCCCCGGACAACTCGGTGCGATCTAGGCCGAATCGCTTTCCGGTTAATGACTCACTTATCTGCCGCCAGATGAAATTGTTCGTCACAGTGCAGACTCGTGTAAAACTTTCGGCTAAACCGTTGCTCGCGACGACACGCCAGACGATATTCACATCTCGACGCTAATGCGCACGATAGTGCTCCACCTCATTTTCTCGAATATTCATACGCAAAACGTCGAGCTTACAGATTATGCCAAGTTTCGCGAACAGGCACATTCGAGTCGAGAAGTATCCATGAAGAGAATCGCGATAAGACACTGCAACGTGCGCTCAACATCGCCGGCATTTGCATCGCAAAATTTGCTCAAACTTCGGGCCTGTGTGAACGGCGAAAGCGTTAAATCCTCCTAGCCCGACGCTAATTGTCCCCGACTGTGCCTCTCGTCCATTACGTACAACAGTCACAATCAAGTCGTTTGATCAATGACTCGGAGAGTCGAAAATGCATTTTCGCCCCGTTATCAACCGCCGCGGATCAAAGGACAGTCTCGAAAGACGCGACTTCTAAGGACTGTAACCTCGGTTAGATTACATCTCGACATGCTGCGCGCGGAACACTGTGGGACCCTGTTATAATTCCCGAGCAGACGCGTGGGTGACGTGCGTTACGCAGGCTTTCATTCATTTCGAGGCTGAAATTCGCGATCTTGAGTGGTCTCCCGTCGCGCTTGACGAAGAGAGAACACGGAGGACGGCATCCTTTTATCTGAGAAAATTTCGCAGGACGAAATCGGGCAAGTGCCGCGTCTAACGCACCCTGCCTTCGTTTCTCTTCGGGCCGTGGCCGTTCGAGGGTCGAGTCTAATTTTGCTCTCACGAGTTCCGTCATTTCCGATAAGAGATTCCGCAATCAAGGGAGGATGGCTCCGTAAGGATTACGTCCCCGGCAGCATTGTCTCCTGCCCGTAAGGACAGCTTATTTATTCGCCACTCTCACACTGTCACGAGCGACGTCGTTTCGTCCTCTCGCGATAAGACTCGCAAATTCATCATTTCCGGCTCGCTTAGGCGAAGAGGCGGGCACGCGCGCGACGACTAGGGTGAATTAGAGATTTTCTTGTAGTCGTTCGGGCGCCCCGAAATGTGTCTCAAGAGGGGGCGAGCGAACAGACGGTCGCCCCTCGAACAATAGCAGAACATAAATCGCAATTATGTTTCCGGTGGAATGAATTTATTCGATACTATCTGTTGAGTTGGCTCGTCGACGATAAGAAAATAGACGGTCGTGCCATAAGTTCTTTCGCATGAGAATCGTTAATTATTTTTATCCTAATTATATTTTCATAATAATTATGGTCGTATGCCGCGTCTCCTACGATCATTATATATTTATATGCACCTGTTCTAAAGGTAATTCATACATTTCTTACAAGTAAACCTGCCCAAAAGGCACACTCTTTCTAATTTGGTACAAATGTAGAAATACAAAAAATATTTAGGTCATATTTTTTCATCTTGGCCCACTTTGAGTTTCACGAGCAGCTTATAACTTTTTAATGTTCTCACTCTTATCATCAAGTACAATAAAAATACGTAAGAAATATAATTGAATACAGGATATAGTTAAATACTTTTAACAAAATCGGCTTAGCTGAGACACGAACTATTCTAAATTTCTTTAGCCGAGATTTCAACGAAAATATTTCAAATCTGTGCTAAGTTAGTCAAAAATAGTTCGAATCTCGGTCAAACCGAGAAATTATTTGTATAAATAATTTTTTTCAACTTTTTACATGTTCTGTTTAAATATGTTATTATTTATACAAATAATTTTACACATTTGACTTTATATTCATAATCAGCAAACCAAAAACTTTTATATCCTGTATTCAATTTTATTTCTTATGCATTTTTCTTGCACATATTGATGATAAGAGTGAGAACATTAAAAAACTATAAACTACCCGCGAAACTCAAAGTGGGCCAAAATGAAAAAATATGACTTAAATATTTTTTGTACTCCTACATTTGTGTCAAATTAGAAAGAAATCGGAGCGTAATATTTGGGTAGGATTACTTGTTAGATACACCTGTATGTAATTATAAGTTTCCAGATGGAAAATATTTTACAATTATATTATTTTTAATTATGCATAAAACACTTTCTTTTATATTTTGGCGATCGTATTTATTGATGTCGATTGATGTTAATCGTGGTCTATTTGAACATGCAACAAAATTAAATTGCTGCAATTGAAGTTTGTGTATTTGAGAATTCATGAGAATCTAATGCGGAAAACAGCTGGACACGGGGATCATTTTCCGGCTTCCCCTCGGAAACACGTGTTCGTTCTATGTGAGAAATCGACGCCTGTGTCTGTGAAAACGCCGAACGAAAGAGGAGCAGGAAAACGCTGACGATACGGCGGCTCATTGTTGTCGCACAAAGACATATTATCATCAATAGTTCGTTAATGGTGTGTTCGGAGTGCAGCCGTCATTACGCGCGAGAGAAAATACGCCTGTTCACCGTCGCGACG